CAGGATTAGGTCACCACGCAAACGGCGATAACGTCCGCTGAAAATGCCAAGCACTCTGAGGCGCTGTTCATATGACAAGTGGCGCAGCCGCTTGACATTTTTGGTCGCCCGACGTTGCGGAATCTTTCAGATCGTGAGATACTGCTTTAGTCAAGGGTGTCATGCTTGAATTGCATATTCAACATGAGGCCGCCTGTAAACGGGAAGTATTGGGCTGAAGATCGACGTTTCGAACTACCCAAAAGCTCTCCGTAAAAGCCAAATTATTTGGAACCCCTTCTTCGATGTCTTTTTGGACTACTCCGAGCAGCCGACATATTCATGGACCAGCACACCACGATCATTTCTGGGAGAAAATTGTTTCAGTTCCTGGTCCTCTAGCTTATATGTGTGAACCATCCAGTGTCGCACGCGACATTTAACCACATTGGATAGAAGGCGAATTGGGACCGACCATCCATAAATCTTGCTAAGGTCGCTTTGAAGGTGGAGACGGTCTTCTGCAGCCCTGATCACTCATCAAACCTTATGGTTATTGGCGTACGGTAAACAGTTTTACTTAATTTGGTTCGCTATATCCTTTGTGAAGACCAAGAATAGTCGGGGCCCTAGTACCGAACACTGGGGCACACCGCATTCGACTTGCATTGGAAGTGACATGGATTCATGTGCTCTCACTTCCTAGACGCTTGTGCGAGAGAAAATTGCAGGTCCATCCGAGGAGAGGATCCCCAAGGCCACATACTGAAGTTTGGTACGAAGGATACGATGGTCCAACCGGCCGAATCTTTTAAAAGAATCAAGGTGTATCACATCAACTCCTGTACCAGCATTCACCGTTTCGGTTCAGCTGTGTGCTAACAATAGGTTGGTTTGACCATATCAAACTAGTTTATACGTTTCGGTATGACGAGCTTCACGGGACATTAGTACTCATTCAAGATGACTTACATTCCCTTGTGTCATGGTACTGCACATGAGTGATGAACCTTTCCGCTACGAAATCAAACATCATGTCTTACATCTGCTGCATCCCCGAAGGATCTATCACCCTAAACAATGAACGTGTTCCAATACATCTATTCACAGGAGACCTTGTAATTAAGTACTCGTCTACCTTCAATTTATCCGAACAGACTCAATACCAAGTAGCACGTGCCAGACAGTCTATGTTCAATATATCAAACAAAATACACACAACTCGTGCTAGAGTTGAGCTTTTCAAGGTACTCACTCGCCCCATCCTCGAAACCTGCAGCATAATATACGGAAATATGCGAAAGAGTGACAGAATTGCTGTGGAGCACGTGTAGAGGTCATTTACTAAACATCTGATCGGTAAACACTCTGGTATGAGTTATCGAGAACATTGCAATTAACTTCATCTCGAACCACTTTGGATTCGATGATTGAAGCACAACTTATTGCTGCTTTCAACCTGTTACACATAAAGATCTATTCCAACCTACCTACACTCAATTTACAACATTGCTCAACTCGAGCGCTTCGCAACAACGATTTTACATTGAATATACCGAAGGCTAGAACGAACGTCCACTCTAATTTCTTCCTGGTCAGATACAACTATCTATGGAATAAACTGCCAATAACACTCAGGTCAGGTGACAATGTGGCAACATTTAGTAGTAGACTCGCCAATTATCTTGATCCAACTACCCCAAGCTGTATATTCACATGGGAAAATTCCCTCAATGAGCTATTCCAAGAGGGACCCAGAAACATATAAAAACCAATGTTTTCAAAACTAGGCTTTGGCCTCAACCATCCGCCAGAATGTTAATGTATAAAACGCATATGCCAATACTCCACCTATGCATGTCAGCCATGCAAGAGCATGGAATGTTCTGTACAAATTGATCTGTGCGGCTATTGACGCAGTTTCTCTTATCAAGATATATATGTATAGTAGTTATAATTATTTTTTTCTGGCGAAACCCGTGTAGCTCCTGAGCAATGTGACCAATGCCGTCCAGCTAAGACATGCGTGTGTCGGCAATGATGGCCACCATAACTTTTGAAAGAACTGGCAGTAGAGTCACCAGTCGATAATTGGCTGGGTTAGAACAACTGTCCCCTTCGTAGATGGGTTATTTTCCCATGTTCTACATTGCAAGAACTGCCTCTGCTCAGGGTAATGCTGGAACATCCGCGCCAAAGGTTCAGCTAGCATGTTAGCCGCCACAATTAGCGTACTTGAGCGGATGTCATCAATTCCTAGACTGGTGTCCAGGCGCATGGATAGCAGAGTAGTCATCACGGTGTCTGCCGTAAAAGTCATGTGTGTATCCTGGTGGAAGCACCATAGTTTCCAACGCTTGAGCGGACCATGGCATGCCATGAAACGTTGGTGCATATTGCTGTTGCAGAACGTTCGACGATTCTTTAACAGCCCGGGTTAGACCATCCGCTGTTTGAAGAGGGGGAAAACCACTTTTATCTTGCGGAGGTTGTTCACGTTCTTGTACAGAACTTTAGGATTTGAAGTTAATCGCCCGGCTAAGGCATGCTGATAAGCTACTTTTTCCTTTCGCACTAATTTGGTACAGTAGTTACGCTTGACAACCTAGGCCTTCCAGGTACTTGTACTCGGATCGGTTTTGTGAGTATACCACGCCGCGTTGCGCATCACTATGTATTTGCGTGTTTTACTCAGTATAAACGACACAAGCTTCCTCGAACTGATAGTTTTTGTTTCCGATGCTCCACTAACCAAGATGTTAAACTTACTGCCGGATCGTTCCGAGGCAATGTCCGATACATCCTCGGTTAGGAAACTAAAACCAGTCGCCACAACGAGTCGGGTTTATGTGCCGTATCTAGTTATGGTGGGTCGTTCTTGTTCTGTCTTCGGATTATTCAGCATAGCAAGGGCGCATAAAACGCAAAGTTGCATGATCCCTGTGGCCCAGAAGAGTATCGATTGTCACGCTCGCAATCATCAGTTCTTCATTAGTGAATATCCCGTCCAATATGGATCGCCTTCTATTTCACCTGAATCTGGTGGGCGAATTGACGGGGCTATAAAGCGTAAAGTCCGAGACAAAGTCTTGCAGCTCTGCCTTGAATTGCTTTCCTGGTGTGGCCTGGGTATCTAGAGCCGACGATTAGAATGTGACTGTACTTCCTGTTTATTACTTGCCTCAAAGCAGCCACCAAGTCGCAATCCATCTCAGGTGTAGAGGATAATGGACGGTAACCGTCAGCCATTGGGCCAGCGTCGTTCCCAACTAGCCGTAAACTGCACCAAATGAATTCAGGCACATTGGTTTCCGAGTCGTGTATGGGTTCGCACTGCAGGTTGTTACGAAAGTAGAGGGCTACTCAGCCACGTTTACTGGCTCGATCATTCCGGATGACGGACATACCTGTTGGCGCGATTTCGGCATCCGTTCTCTCCCTGCACAACCATGTTTCCGTGATAACGATGAGGTCCCAAGCTGCTGCCGAGTGTCGAAGCCCTAGTTCAACTAATTTGCTGAGTATGCCTTGTGCATTATTTTACATGCATGAGAACCCCTCGGAGACCAAAAGTGGGTTGGATGTGATGGATGAAGCAAGTGAGTTTACGCCGACCAATGAAAGGTCGGCGGCTAATCGCTTTTTGGAGGGGTTGCATGGTCTCATGAGGAATTTGGTAGATATTCAAGCAGCGGGTTCACCGGATCCCGGTGGCCGCTCGTGCTCCGCTGTGTCCTTTCTGAGGCCATGGCTACTGTTGAAACCGTTACTGAGTCAGATCTTACATTTGGTGTTTTCAGTGAGATGCTTCAGTGAGTGAGTGAGTGAGTGCTTCCAGCATCACTTAAAATGATGCTCGTAGCTCTACAAATCATATCAGGATTCGCGGATTGCCATTGGCTTAGTTTAATTGCATAAGTGCGTAAGTAAGCAAGTAAGTAAGTAAGCAAGTAAGTAAGTAAATAAGTAAGTAAGAAAGTAAGTAGGTTTCCGTGCTCCAGCGTTTTCGCGTCGCTTCCCATAAACAACAACCATAAGCGTTATAAGTTTAGGGAATTAGTAATCATTCAACCTCTGCTTTACATCGGAGCAGTTTACTTTGGGTCGCTGAATAGAACAGTGAAGTACAGTGGAAATGGTAATATTGTCTATCAAACAAGTACAGAATGACGCAAGCATATCCGTGTGCACACACACCAACGCAGAGCACTGCTCTGCTGCACATCAACGCGCTTATGATTATACATCTGTGGGTATCGTAACGTTTGCAATCAACTTAACAAACTCAAATAAAAGTCCGACCACCAACATCTGCTTGGCTATCAAGATTGACGGTCACTGAAATGGCCGTGTTCACCTCAAGAGCATACTGGTAGGGTTCACATCTTCCAACAGAGGAGTGCCACAGCTAGCGGCAGAAGTAAACTACAGTGTGAGCGGAGATAATCCACCCATCCTTTTGGAATCTCTTTCTCAGCTCAATCATGTACACCTAAGCAGTTGGATTATTAATTGAGCATTATTTTCACTCGTTAGTGTTCACATGTTTGTTCCATAGAATAGCGTTTCTAGGCCTCTGTCCACCGCATTAAGCAGCCGCTCGAATCTCATTCATCTTGCTTGGCTAACCGCTTGCATGCTTTTAAGATGATTACAACACAAAATGCATTTACTCACAATTATTTCTTACATGCGTGCTAATCGACCATGGTACTGTCGTGTGCGTTATTCTTTTACTACAGCAGAAGAATAGCAAAACTAGACATGTTGCATATGTGTAAAAGCGTTTCTTCTGTACTTAATTTACTTCTAAAAAATGTGAACAGAACGAGATTTACGTTGGCAGGACGATTTTATCCTCTTGGACAGTTGTCTTCTTGGTAAACCCATCAAGCTAATGGTTGGAGAAAGACATCTCATTTTGAGCTGCCCTGTTTGACCAGAGAGATAAGTAAAGTTTAAAACGCATCGTACTCTTAATCCGATCCCATAGGTTGGTGTGGCCTGATCAATAGACCTACCATTGTGATCTACACCATTCTCCGTGAGCGGCTCACCAACTCCATAGCCATCATCCCGAACCAAGCGGCGATGGACCATCAACTCAACTTGCCCATCCTGCAGGCTGCTCCCACCCTGTGCGCGATCCGTGTAAACGGCGAATCCCATTGCTGGCCACGATCCTCTTGTTTCACGGTGAAAAGATGTTTCCGATGAACTACCTTTAAGCATGATCCGATTGACAATTGGATAATAGTTGCCAGCCACCGGTTGTGTCTCTCGAAACACTTGGGAGATGTTCCAATCAGGGCGCATATGCCTTACCCGTTTGATAAGGCGCCGGCCAGCGGAATCCGTGTAGAACTCGCCTGCAATAAGAGCAAATTTGCTATTTTTGGTATGCTTTGGAGTGCATTGGATCCCAATATCTTATCCTATCTTGTAAAGAAACAGAGCAGTTATGCGTTTCGCAAGCAAAATAATCGATTGTCTGGCCGCACTAAGACACTACTGTAAAGGATGAAACATTGGAGGGGATTTAGATATTTTATAATATGGGTACTTGGCTAACATCGGAGTTATAACTGTTACACCTAACGAAGCATTTTATTTGCTGGATAAATCAACTAGAAGAAAGGGATAGTGAGAGTGTGCTTAGGCATTCATACTAGTTGATTCAGTTCAATGGATGTATCTAGTTAAGACAAGTGATCTTAGACGACATAACACTTATCAATGGAACTTTTTATTTTCACGAATTATGATACTAAAAAGCGTACGCACCACATGAGGAGAGTTCCTAGAACCTACCTAACTGCATTTGCAGTGCACGCTTAAGCGATGTGCCGAGTTACGTAGTCCGGTGAACTATGTGCTTCCTCAGACTTAACATATGAAACTCCGAGGTTGCAAGAAATACGCAGAAACCAAGAAGTAGTCAGTCAAGCGGGCCTTACCTACACAGGACTGGATACTTTTTGGCCTTGGTAGACGAATAGTTTAAAAGGACGATGGAGATCAACGATCATTCTATGAATACCAAGTAAGAAAATAAAGTTCTGCTGATGCGTTTAACACCACTGCTCACATGGGAGCCTTGTGTAGACTCCCGGTTGCAAGGAATTCATACTTCTTTGCATACGTATACAGAAGTAGCGAGGATCGATTCAGATTTGGTGTAGGAGACTTTTTGTTAACTACTACTGAATCCGAAACTCTGTTTTCTGCCTTCGGGCGCGCAAAGATGGCATATGCAACGCAAAAGGTTAATGGGTCGATGTCCTCTAAGTAAAACTGTCGTCATCTGAAAACTATTCATTTCAGTTATAAACGTGCACAAGGAAGTCCGATAACGCAGTTCATGTTGTCGTTATTAATGAAAACTGTGGAAAGTTACCGGACCCCCCATTACCTGCGCATCATCCAACATGACGCTTCATTATTTATACGGTCTCATTGTGTATACGGTTCCCCGCCTTAAAGACCCATTTATTCCCATTTGCAGTTAGGTCTATTAATGAAACGTTGTTAGTTATTCCGAGTTACCCACCTGTCGTTTGCGGCAGTATTGCGTCTCCTTGCACGGTGTACCTTATAATCAGCTCCCGGCTGAACTGGCGCCAACCGTCAGGAATTGGTCCAGCTGTCCACTGTACTTCCAATTCTCCGTTATTGTACAAGCGGACGACCAACGAAGCCCAGTGACTGTAATTCAAGTAAACTTCTTCCACGCAAGCTCCTTTCAGATGCTTTGGTTAGCGTGCAGGGAAACATAAGAGATGAGTATACAACATTGCATTAAAGCAAAAGGGGTACATATCTGAGATTTAACAGCATTTTGTGAAATCCAACTAGCTGTCCGGCAATGAGCTGGCAGCTTTTCTGTTAACTAACTAGCTAATGACCTAAATGTGTGTCGACTTCACTGATTGTATTCCCTGCGTCCCACCCTTAGACGACGAGGAAGTGCAATTAGTAAATTGATTGTTATTTTAAACGATGGAATAATGGCAATTATTTCCATTTATCTCCATTGAAGGTGTGTAAACAATCAACAAAAGCAAAAGAAAGTAGATATTTATCTTTCACAACACCGGAGCAGTCTATCATGCCGACAAAAATAATGCGTATATTCATTTCAGAGTTAGTTCATTATTGTTCACTCTCATTAGTAATAAATTTATTTATTAAAAATGCCAAAAGCAATGATTATCTCATCATGCAAGCACTTACTTCAAAACTAGGTGTCTCAAATTTCTGAATCATATCTTTGTTTTTCGGCAAAAACACATAAGCTCCAGAGGATTGCATTCCGTTGGTTTCACCGAAGTAATACAGCATTTCAACAGTTAATCGAAGCTGTGTTCCAGTGGCTAGATGTTCGGCCACAATGACCAGTGGATCCGGGCTACTGCCGACTTCCAAATGCAGTGCTGTAGTTTGGGACACAAGAGGAGCTTGAACGCATCTAGATGGATTTGAATGATGTGACCACGCCGACTTAGCTACTGCTTTTTGCTTGCTTATTGATAAATGGAGAGTTGTAAAGCCCATAGGTAATGTCGGCAACCCAGAAGATCCAAGATTGAAAACAAGTTCAGTATTCGCAGAACGAGCCGAAGCCTGTCGCTCTGGAATTTGCATTGTTCGCTTATTTATCGGCACTATCTGATACGATAGGAGGTTTTTTCCCGCAGCTCGCACATCATAGAGGACGACAGAAAGCTGGTTGCTTTCTAGTGGATCGATGTAAATTGGAATTCGAACCCATTCGTTCCATAAACTCCATCCATTCGGATTGTAAACGAATATATAAACACCGCCTTTTCCAGTAGAGTTTAAATATGGTAAATAACCTTCCGTAGCAGTGCAGAGGCTGATATTGAGCAGATCGCAAAATGCCGGTAGTGCGCCACCGGTTAGATGTAGTAAGTTTGGCATTAAACGAAGCATCCCATGGGAAATCACAGCTTGGCAGGCAGTGGATGCGCGTGATAAAGTTAAAGCATAGTCATCGGCCACAAGTTGTTTTTCGGTCCCAGTCACGGCGTCATGGTGCTGTAACACGCCCATTGCTCTGCGTAGGCTATCGACGTATTCTTCCTGGGCATCCATCCACTCCCGGTTGCTAGAACTGAGGATCCGGTTGGCGAACAGATGTATCTGGAGAGAGGCGCCAAGGGAACAACTTTTAGCGGAATTCTAATCACCAGGCACTACCGGTGCCAAGTGCATTTTAGCTGAAAAGACTATTGGACATATAAATACACAACAATTACCGAAGCCACGTAGTGGCTGTTTGTTGTTTTCTTCCATGATACATTCAGCGGTGACTAAGCACATTTGCAATGAGTAAACAGTGTAAAACTAACTATTCGTCAGTTGTAAGTGAGGCAAGTGGCCCGGACGGATTATCTCCCCTTGTCCACAAGTTGTGTGCTGATACCTCGGCTCAGCCTCTTGCGGACCTGTACACTTCGTGCATACATAAATGTAAAGTTGCCGACTGTTGGAGAAATGCCAGAATTACACCGGTGCCAAGAAAAGCGCAGATAAATCCCGGGTAATTGCTTACGTCTCAGTAAACTTGTACATCTTCGGGAAGATAATTCTTGATAGGATGACAACTCAAACTCTTCCGGACGATCCGGTACGGCTTGCTTATCCTAGACTGATGTCGGCTGAATATGCACTAACCTATCTTGTACATTCTCATACTGTCTCGTCTGTCAAGGCTGAAAGCCATAAAAGTTCACATCCGCCGAGACTTGGAACCCGAAGACAGGGATCGTTTGAAGACTGTGGTCATTGAAATCAAACGCCGTACAGAGGAAGGTGAGACTGACTTACAAATTGTAAGTTTTCGGGTGATCAAGAAGGGTGTACGAACCCGTATCAACCGGTTGCTCAACCTCCAGGCATGTCCCGCAGTACCTCCCAGGACCTCTGTGTGGCATTCGCCAACGTGTGCAGCCTAATGAACAAACGTGACGAACTGTGCCGCTTCGCTGTCTCGGAGCGGCCGGACATTTTAGGACTTGCAGAGACATGGCTGAACTCCGACGTCATACCCCAAGAAGTCGTGTTGTCAGGATACTCTTGTTTCCGATGCGACCGAAAATCAAAGGCTCACGGTGGTGTTCTGTTGTACATAAAATCGTCACTAGCTGGCAAACTTATCAGTACCTATCGGAGAGAGGATAGTTTATGCGAGCAATTGTGGTGCACAACCCGCCTCAGGCGCAGAACTAATAGTGGGGGTTATCTATCGGAGCCCGTTAAACCGTTGCTGCGATTGGATACCACATGTACAGAAGCACATGAGCCGCCCTCAGTTTTTACTGATGTGGGATCTAAATTTACCTAAGATAATTTGGCCAGATGTTCGACTTCTTCCCGGTCATGACAACGTTGAGACTCAATCCGCTAAAATGACTATTGAAATCGGGGCAACGCAACATGTCATCCAACCGACGTGCGTAACTCCGTACTCCGCATCTTGTTTACGAGCTGCGAGCAGAAGCTAAAAGAGATCAGAGTCATCGAACCTCTGGCGAACAGTGACCACTGCTCTATTGTAGCAAGCTTAGAACTGTCGTTACCATATTACAATCAACAGAAGCCGACATTCAACTATTGGAAGTCGGACTTCAACGGACTCGTCCAAGCCGCAAGTCAGACTGATTGGACACTACCACAGGATGCGTCACTTGAGGCCTGGTGGTCATTAATAAAGGGGGAGCTTAACTCGCTCTGTACTCGGTTCGTTCCCCTTAAGTATTCAAAAATCGGACCTGTCAAACCGCATTGCTTTGATAGGGAATATAGACAGTTAGCGTGACGACGTCGCAAACTTTGGGATAGATACATCAGCTCGGGTTGTGATGAAGATTACTCGATGTACAAAAAACAGCGTAACTTATGTAACGCCGCAAAAATCAAGAAACGCCGGCAGTTCGAAGAGGAACTAGCATCCTCGATCACAACTGCACCCAAAAGAATATTTGCCTACTTGAATCGTCAACTGAAACCTGGTGACGACCTACCGGTCTTAGAGAGATTAGACGGGAAGACACTCATTTCAAGCGCGGAGCGCGCGGACGCCTTGGCTACGCACTTCCTCACTGTATTTTCCAGCAAACCGGCGGCGGTTTCAGTACCGGCACAGGTTGCGCAAGTCTTGCTCGACAGCCTACAATGTGACGCATTCGAAGTGCATCAGCTACTCGTCAACCTTGATGGTGCAAAGCCCCCGGACCAGACGGACTTCACCCACTAATACTCAAGTCCCTATCGATTATCATCTCACCGGCTGTGACAAACCTTTTCAATAGATCGCTCTCTGAAGGACCCGTCCCGAACGACTAGAAATGCTCGATAGTCAAACCGCTTCCCAAGGGTGGTGATCCGAGTAAGATAGAGAACTATAGACCGATCTGTTTGACTTCGGTATTATCCAAAGTTCTCGAGAAGGTTATGAAAAAGTGTCTGCTGTCGTTCTTCGAATCGATGGACGTATTGACACCAGCGCAACACCGCTTTACGAAAGGGCGATCCTGCATCACCAACTTGGTGTACGCAAACCACCAGTGGGTTCGAGCTCTCAACGAACAGAAAGATTTTGACGTGGTCTACATCGACTTTAGTAAGGCGTTTGACAGAGTGAACCACGAGGTACTCCTTCGTAAACTGAGGACATACGGAATCGGTGGCACGTTACTTCAGTGGTTCCGAGGGTTTATTGTGGGACGAGTACAGGCCAATGACTACCTGACAGACTGGTTCCCATCGACTAGTGGCGTGCCTCAAGGAACTGTACTTGGGCTAGTTTTATTTCTTATTCATATCAACGATCTTCTGTAGAAGCTCCAGTCACCATGTGCCCTGTTTGCAGATGATTTGAAAATCTGGAAGATCATTGAGAACCAGGACGACTGCGCTCGCCTCCAGCATGACTTAGAGCGACTGTCAACGTGGTCCACTGAAATGCAACTCCCTCTTAACGCAAGCAAGTCGGAGTTCATCAGTATCACCAGACGTCCAGCCACTCGATCCTACACCTTGGACGGCCAGTTGCTCCATCCCAACACATCTGTCAGAGACTTAGGAGTTCTCTCACGACATGGTTTGAGATCACTAGAAAATACAGAGAAATTGTACCGTGCGGGACTTCGTATGCTCTGGGCATTAAGACGCAGTTTCTCCACATGGTCCGAAGAAACCGTCCCTCGTCTATTCACCTCGCTCATTAGACCAATCCTTGAATACGGTGCTCCAGCTTACCATCCCGATAACCCAGTGGGAAACTGAAAAGCTGGAGAAAATACAGCATATCGCAACTAGAATGATACCGACCCTACGAAAGCTTCCGTGTGAAAAACTTGTGAAAGGCTCGGACTCTACACACTATCCTATCGCCGAGTAAGAATTGACCTTATTATGACCCATCGAGTACTACACTTAAATCACTTCCCCATACTGCGGCCAATATTTCACCTGCGGGAACCCTGTATCACCCGAGAACATCGTTACAAACTCAGGGTCCCCAGCATGAACAAAGTATCACATCAGCTTTGTATCGAACGAAGAATCGTAAACTTATGGAATACACTACCTGAAGGATTAATAGAGGCCGAATCTGTGAAGTGTTTTAAAACCCGTATCGACGATTATTTTGGAAACCTGTGCTTTTGTGAAACGATGCACATACAGTGTCAAAAGAAGACATTGTATGTCCGGAAATAATGAAACTAGTACAAATTTCTAACCGAACAAGGATAAACGATTAACGGACCAGGCACAACTGCTGAAAATTCATAAGTAAATTTTGATTTTTCGTAATTCGATAGAGTTGTACAGAAACCTTTCTACTTGCTCTTACATACAGTCTCAGTCTCAGTCTCATTCAGTGCTGGAGTCACTGGACAGTGAGATGAAATCAGTGCGAGTGTTTTCTCAACTATGGCAATGCTTTCGACAACGTAAACCTTGAGCTTCTTTGGAGAGTCCTATGTGATACCGGAATCCAACCTTTCACGGTTCACCTGCTGATGACTATTTCTCTGGACCTGCCCAGCTGATTCGACTTGGAGGGGGGGAGTAAAGGTTCCCTGCTACTCACCACAGCGACTGGTGTTCGTCAAGTAGCCAAATTGTCACCATAACTTTTTCCACTTAGGTCGCATTTTTTACCCGCTCCTGTCGAAATGATCTCGCTGAAATGTGTAGACGAAGTGTTCTTACCTATACAGCATGCGACCTCAGCCTTATCAGTCATCAACCTGGATGACATTGCATTATGATCTAGAGCTCAATATTTATCGCTAAATGCATTAAAATGCATTGACGTTTTTTCCTTTCAAAATGACCGTAGTTAACAGCAGCTTCTAATGGATCGCCCAGAAGTTCATATAGATAGTGAGCGGTTGCACTCCAACAAATTTGTGAAGTATCTCTAGGTGTTGCACTCAGCCGTGTTCTATCATGGTCAATCCATGTGAATGAAGTTTTACAAAAGTGAGGAAGCTTTCCTTTTACGCTGCTCGCTTACAATCCTCATTTGTCCTTCGCTACCTAATACTACAATTTTCACCGATTTTGTCACACCGCACTAGACTTATTGCTCCCCTGTGACTTTCCCCGGTTACTTAAAAGATGCATATCAAAATCCTAGACAGGTCACTGGTACAACCGTCTTTATGTAGCGGTATTCTAAGACCGATACTTGTTGACACCACTGTGTCTACTCATTCCAGTTCATGCAAAGGGCGTTTTAAACTGACCTCGCTGATGTAAATCACCTTCTTTATGCTGCGCTTTCTGACTGTATAACAACTTCCTCAACTAGACAAAAGTACAGATCCATTTATTCCCGTACAAGGACTTCCCATCATCATCATCATCATCATCAACAGCAGTACATCAGCCATTTGAACTGATGCTTCGCTGCCATACAACCATGAGGACCTATGAAATAAAGAATAAGAAGAGGGAGAGAAGGGGGACTTACCTGAAAACCTTAATGCCCTAAGCAAACATTCAGGGTCAAGGCGCCTACACCTTGTGTAGACAACATTCCGTCACAAACACCTGGCTATCGTGCAAAGATAAGGCGGCATCGGCGAGACAGCTTCCTTGCGGCTTTCACTGCCACGCGTCATAAT